GAAACCCCCTGCAGCCCCGCGGCCTCCAGAGCCTCTTTCCCAGAGGGAGTCCCCATAGGGATCTCCAGGCCTGAGGCCTTCGCAGGAGCTGCTGTCCTGTGCAGGCCTGGCCCTTGTCAATGTTTCAGGCCCATAAGGCCAAGAGCCTCCACATGTTAATGTTGCTCAACAACACCCTTGCATTTAAATGTCTATGGGAAGACCTTTAATTTCCACTATCTTCGCTTCTCCCAGGGAGCCGCAGACCAAATACCAGGGAAGAGTTGAAAACAGGCGCCGGGCAATGCAGCCACACAACGCAAACGGTGCCGGAGCGCGGGACACCCCTTCTCCCCGCCGGGGCTGTGGCCGAGCCGGCGCGGCCGCCCGTTACTCACGTGCTGCAAAGGGCCCCGCGCGCGACGCGGCGGCTCCCGCCTCCTCTCCGAGCGAGCGGACACGCAGGGCGCGTTGGCAGACATGTTGCAGGGGCTGGAGGCCTTCTGGAAGCACAAGAGAGTCAGCAAGATCACGGTTGCATGAAGAATTAGAAAAAATAACATGCCTACAAAGTCCTCGGCTGGTTTAAGAACAGCCCAGCAGGACAGTTGACCCCTGCATCAGAAACACCAAGAAAAAAACACCAAGAAAAGCCAAACTCATTGATACGAGACATAAAACCAACAACACAACTTTATTTTGTATTCCATACAAACTGCATCCTCTAGCCATTTTACAGCGTTGGCAGCAGAGCTGACGGGTTCCCCTGCGCCACCAGCCCAGCAGCACGGGGCCCTGCTCCGACTCATGTGTTACCAGACCAATAACACCCATGACAGGGGAAAAATCCAGAAAATCTCATTTGTGGGAACCGAGTTTCAACTAGAAGGAAGGTGCAGCGGGATCCCGGCTGCCCGGGCGCTGTTACCGCTGCAGCAGCGGAGGGGGCCACCGGGGACACCCGGGGGAGCAGCCTGCCCCGTTCCTGCCACCCGGCTCTTCCTGCAGGAAACTGAGAAAAGACCCAAGAGGCCCCGTTTCTGGGGAACTCTCTCCTGCTCGGCTAGGACTCAGGAATTCAGTCCTGGTTTAGAGCTGGGTTTGGGCCATGGCAGCAAGGCTTCCTGGGCTTTTCCAGGTGACATCCAAGACCCCTTCCTGTCAGGTACCAATGCTCACTCTTGCCATACCTGTATTTGGCCATGGAGAAAAATGAGCTGTAGCTGGAAAGCGTTTTGACTTAAGGGCTAAAAAGCATCGCTGGGAAGCAGAAGGCTGCGACGCATCTGCTGGTCTCAGAAGGGGATGAGGAAAGGGCCGCGCTCACAGAACGTCCTGCAAGCAACAAGGCTGGGTCCAGGGACACGTGAGATGAGGCCAGAAGGTCAGGACGAGCGTTGGGGACAGCTGCCAACTGCTGCTCCCGAGCAGAGGGCCGCAGACAAGGGGCAGCAGCCCGTCATACCTCATCACTGTTCCTCTCCTCAGCCTCTACAGCTGCCCACACTTCCATTCAGATGGCCCAATCCCCTGAGCAAGGCTTTGCGAACACAAGGAAAACCAGGCTCAGCTGCGCAGTCAAGTTTTTCCATGTGTTTCTTGGACTTCAGTGACTAGAAATCCTGGTGGCAGGAAGCTGGACGTGGATGCGGTGCTCTAGCAGGAGCGTGCGTTCGGTAGCAGCACCTGCTCAGAGCCCTGCACGGCTTCCCTGGTCCGTGGTGTGAGCAGGGGCCTCCAATACCCAAATCCTCCCACCCTCGCGGTGCAGGAATCGCCCGTGCCAAAACCCAGCTCGGAGGGATCTCCCTTCCCTCCCGCCCTGCGCGCCTCGGACCCCGTTTGCTCTTAACGAGGGTCTTGCCGAGCGCGAGGGCCTCACTGCGAGGCCAAGAGCAGAGCCAGAACCCCGGGACGGGCAGCCAAAGCGCTGCCGTTCGGCACGACGCGGAGGCGCCGCTTCTCCTTTCCAGGCCGCTTGGACAATTCCTTAGTGCTAAGGCAGGTTTCAGCCTCGCTCGGAGGAGCCTCGAGGCACCGTGTGCCCCTCGGAGGAGCCTCGTGCTGCCGTTTCGAGCACCACCTACTTCACCGGGGTCAGGTGATCGTCGGGGCACAAACGGGAGGTTTTGCTACAGCAATATTCTGGGGAGGATTTAAACAGGACAAATAGTAACAGACAAATCACTTCCCTAAGGGAGAAGGGCATCCAAGGTTCTGATTTCTGAAGCACTGTTAATAAAGGGGCTCCCAAGGGGTCCTCGTGCTGCCCGGGCTTCTGCCAGCAGCGCGGGGAGCAGGCGGGAAAAGGCAGCTCTGGGGAGGACCGGAGCAGCCCGGGCCGAGGGCTTCATCCCCGCTGCAATCCCGAGATCCACACAGACACCTGCTCCACACACGGAGCCAGAAACGTTGCTCCACAGAACAGCAACATCCCGGGAGCCACACACCTCACCCCATCCAACAAACATACAACAAACCTTGACACAGTTCAGCCTTGGGACACATCTGCATCCACCAGGTCCGGACTCAGAGCCTTACAGACGGATTTACCAGGTTAAAAAAAAGCTTCCTAAGCGTCGGGAGGGATTTTGTTACCCTCTGCGCAGCTCCGTCAGTGCCACACGGCAGGGCCACCCCCGCTCTGGGAGAGCTAGAATTAAACGACTGAATTTGAGGTTGCCGAGGGTCAGTGGACAAAGCAAAGACACTTGCTGCAAGGGATCGAAGTGGTCAGAAACTCAGAGGGGAAGAGCACAGGCTCCACGCTGCTCTGGAGTCCTTGACACGTACTGCTAGGGAGAACAACTCAGAGGAAAAATAAGGAAAAAACCTTGTTGCCTGCACAGTATCAAGCTCTCTTGGTGCACTCAACATCATTAGCCTCAAACTGCAGTGCCACTGAACCAGGGAATTTCACTGAAATTGCTCGCTGAAAGGCCCCTTCTGCTAACTACAGTTTCCCCCGGTTGGGTCTAACTCTGATTTAGCCCCAGAGCCCCCAAACACGACACTGTTGCAGGGACTAAGGTTCCTTGTGCTGTTAATTTTTAATCACTATGGAAGCCACAGAGCAAGGCCTTGCTGGAAGGTCGGAAACTACTGATAGGGAAGTAGCTGCTTCTGTTAAAGTGCCTTATTTTCTTTGAGCTTTTAAAACATCTTCCTTACATTTTAAAATGAAGGGTGGAGCGGTGAGAGGAACACTGGTTTTATATGAAACAAAGCAGAAAATTAATCAGTATTTACACGGATCTTGGATAAGGTTATGGTAGAGACTAATAACCTGACACAGCAACCCAAAAAGCGGAGTGTCAAAAAGAAGAGGAAAACCTGCTCAGAACAGCTTTCAACACCATCCCCTCGGGAGCCGAAGTGTAAACGGTTTTATCTATGGAAAGGCATTTTACTGGGGCTTTGGTAATCGGAGCTGATTAGAGGCGGTTTCTGAAGCCGGCGGCCTGCACGTGGGTGGGCCGGGAGCAGCGCGCGGATTTAGACCAGTTCCACTTTGGCGTTGGGATAAACGGCCACGACGTCGTATCCCTCGGGCGGCTTCACCCGCTCCTTGGCGTGCGTCTCGCAGTAGAGCTGCTCCTCGATGAAGAAGTACCCTCTCTGCTTGAGGTTGAGGCCGCAGTCGTCGCACATGAAGCACTCGGGGTGGTAGAGCTTGTCCCGCGCCTTCACGATGGTGCCCCTGTGGGGAGAGGGCAGCGGGTGAGCGCGGGCAGCACGGCGAGCGCCAGCACTGCTCGGTGCGAGGTCAGCTGTGCTGGGCATTCCCGGGGTATCTAAGGACATGATCTGGGTCCCCATCAGAGCCACCTGCTGCTGACAGCCCCGCGCCGCCCCCGGCTCTGCCTGCGGGACTCGTTTGTGTGTCCCCAGGGTCGGCGCTCGGTGCCACACGGGGCCCTCGGCCCCGAACAGAACAGAGGACTTTAACCAAAATGAACAGGGTACAAGGACAAAATGGTGAAGAGGAAAACTGCCTCTGTTCTCTGAGCCTTAGTCCCAACACCATCCATCGGAGAGCACATCCTCAGCAAAACAGAACAACCAGCTAAAAAACAACTGCAGACGCCTTCACTTGACCTTGAGAAGTGCTTTGTCCTCAGCAAGGCAGTGAACGACTGCCAGCGCCTTTGGCGCTGTTCAGAGTCGCTAGGCAGTTATTAGGATAAGCTGTCAGAAATCAGTCTATGAATCACCCCCGTATTGCTGCAAGATTCCCTTAAAAGGGGCAATCAAGCTGCGTTCCCTATCCCCAGGTTTACCCCCAGCTCGTGGCAGGAGACCCCGGGATTCTGCTCTGGGTTCTCCGCGCGTTCCCGGCAGGAAGCCGCCCGCCCCCGCGCTCAGGCACTTACACGATCCCGTTCCCGCACCGCGTGAGTTTTTCACCTGCCAAGAGCATCAGACAGACATGAAAACTTGCCCCCCTCTTTCTTTTTTCCCGTTTTTCACTGTACTTATTAGATCTACCCTCGGCGAAGCAGATTAAAGTCTTTTGGAGAATTAGGCAAATTAAAACAATATAATTAAATGCATTTATCTTAGGCAGCTTATTTACTTTATTCCATTTGTCAGGAGGAGACAGGAAGGCTTTTAAAAACCTAAAATAAAATGATGTGCTGCAAGATAAGTTTTCTGGGGCACCAAGTTTCCTTTCACAAAGTCAGAGGAAAGGAAGCAATGCAAATTTTGTGCATACAAACTGCACCGTGCAAAGGCTTTACAGGTCTTCTTACATACAGATATATCATAAACACTCACGCTTGGGACATAATACAAATGCACATGTTGTCAACAGCTGCGACACTTGAAACCCTCCCTAGCACACGTTGTTTCTGAGTAAGGACTCAGTACAAACTGTACAGTTTTGGAAACTTCCACTCTGATTTGCTGTGAGGCCTTCAGTAAATTGCCTGCCTTTTTTTACTGCAATTTCTTATTATTTTAAATCAATGTACCATTACTGACGCTGTTTGCTGTCTGCGGGCAGGTTTGCTCAGCACACTCGGACCTGCCTCGCTCCACAGGGCTCCGTCCCTTCTCGTTCAGGGCTCTCCAGGCCACGGGGCTGGAGACCACCCAGCCTTCCCTCCTGGCCCGAGCGGCTCCAGCTCCCACAGCACTTGCCAAAAAGCTGCTGTTTCACTTTTGTTCAGAAAGGTCCGTTTTGAGGAAGCAGCAGCTACTGAAAGCAGCATTCAGGAGTGGGCAGAGAGGTCCTGTGTTTAAGCTCTGGGACTTGTAGGTGTCCTTGTGCAGACAGCCCCATCCCTGGCCCCATACAGCTCTGATGCACAGTGCAACGCTGCTGACGCCTCTACTCAAGCAAGTAACACCCAAAGGACTCATTTCCCCCAGATCCCACTTTCTCAAGATGCAGCATCGCATTTTGAGACACAAATACCTTTCGAGGGACCTAATGTGTCCGAGTGATGGACAGGGGCAGGGGCTGCCAGGCCCCAAGCTCTTCATTGCCCTTGGCTGCCTGTTGTGTGTCGAGTCCTCCCCTTGCCCTTCTGAGAAGCAGCTCAGACAAGGGCTCGACCTCCTCTGCTTAAATTAGACCTAGGCTCGCTTGCCAACGGCAGCGGTTAAGCTGCCGCTGTCGCTCAAACGGGTGCTTGCATAATCTGTTACCTGGGAGAAGTTTTACAGCAAAACGAGCCCTTGAGGGCGCTGCTTCCCACCTCCCTACCCCACGGATCCTTGCCCTTACGGAACCACAACACCTCATCCTGACTTGCCGTCCTTGGCTGGACGCTTTAGCTAACCTGTCCTAGCCAGGCTGGCCCTGCGCCGGTTGAAGTGCCCATCCCTCATGCTGGAAGGGCACCTACTGAAGCCATGGGGATGCTTCCCTGTAGATCCTGTGAGATGCTTCTTATTACAGGCACAGTATGGGGCTGATAACCCCAAGGAAAACCCAGTTTCTGGTGGAAATATTTTCTATATACAATAGCTCTTTGTCTGAAATGTCTGGCCCATTGAAAGAGGGGATCCCGACTTCGAAAGGACAACACACAACTGGCCTGGGCCAAAACACATATTCTGTTACACGGGCAGATTTAAACAAAAAGGATCAGGGTGGAAATGTTAAAACAGCCTAAAAGAAACAGCCCCAATGATTTAAACACCACTGAAACATTACAGAGCTTTGTGCCAGCAGAGATGTTTTTCACTGAGGCCTATTTAATTCCTAATCCCTGACGAAGCAGGCGCTGACGGCGCTACCACCACCACGGCGCTGGCTCAGTGCGGGGGCAGCTGGACCTTGCCTGTGTGCTGTGAAAACCATCGAGCGCAGAGAGGAGCCGAGGGGGACGCGAAGGGGACACGAGGGGGACGCGAGGGGAGCTCGCGGCCTGCTCCCGCTCGGTCGGCGCCCTCGCCCCGCACGCGCCTGCCGCCTCACGGGGCTGCCGCTGGGAGCAGCGGAGGCGCCCAGACATCCCAGCGGGCTGGGACCGCCCCAGCTCCCACCGTGTCCTCCACACGCACCTTGTCCTCGCCCCCTCTCGGCTCTCGCTGCCCGTCCTCGCGAGCCCTCGTGGGGCTGAGGCGGGAGCGGCCGCTCCCAACAACCAGGAGGAGCTTCCTGGGGACCCCACAAACCTGGTCTGCTGAAACAGCTCCTTCCAAGAGCCCAAGGAGACAGAACGTGGGGTAACTCTGGTAAAACCATCCTTGTTAAACACCAGTAAAACTCCGCTTTGGATTTATTCCCATTTCTTGTCCCCGAGGACGGAGGAAGGGGAGCAGCGTCATTAACCGGGATGAAGGCAGCTGCTTCCCGTTTTCCTCTTGCTAATGCGGGGGCCAGGGGTGCAGCGGGCCTCGTGCTGGGCACGCGCTGCAGCCTGCGCCTGCACAGGGCTTCGCTGCGCTGCAGTTGCCCGTAATTAACAGCTGCATTTACAGCACAGGCTGCAGCCACGGTCCCAAGGCCGATCCCATTTCAGGCTTTGCTGACGTGCCTCGATACCACGAGAGCACCGAGAACTCCAAAACGATGGAAACTCGATGCACAGAAGTTCATTGCGACCTTACTCCCTGTGAAGCAAGAAGCAGCAGCTCTCTGGTCAAACACCGTATTCACTGCTGTTTTATACATACAGAAACTGAAGTGCAGCAGCCAGACTTGCTAACCCTGGCAGTTTCTTAATGGGATTTGCAGTAGTTCATTTTGCCATCAAATCTAGTTGTGGATTTACATGACCATAACATGAGAATCCCGGAAGGAAAGAGCAGATCTTAGCCCTAATGACTGTAAAGAAAAGCCTGAAAGTTTGAACCTGGAGTCCTTAATAGACTTCAGGTTGAAAGGCAGATAAAAAGAAGCTGAAAATTACAGTTTGGGGACTTTTTTTTTTTAATACATAGAGTTGGCTCATACCTGAATAACAGATGGGAAGTTATGACAAATCTGGTAAGTGAGCCAAAAGCCCTTGATTTCTATTGCTGTGTTGCTGAGGACCGTTCATATCCTTATGCAAATACTATTTAACCAGGCATACAATCCTCTATCAACGGCCTACACAATAATTTCCAAACCGTTACATTTAAACAATTCATTTCAGGAAAACAGCTGTCATGTAAAAGCTATTTGCAAACCTAAACAGCTTCCACGTGATGCTCAAGTCAGCCACTAAATTTATTAAGCAGAGGCTGGCCCAAACATCTGCATATGGTGAAAAAACCTTGGTTTGAGACCTGCCATCTGAGCGTTCCCTATTGGGGGTGTGTTTGGACCTTCCACGTTGAGCTGGTTCATGTCTCAGCACAGAAGAGCTGGGCTGTAAAACAACAGAGCAGGTCACTTTGCAAGAATGCCCTAGGAGCTCCTGCACGGATCCTTTAAAGGCATCGCAAGCTCCTGGGCCTCAGAAAGGGAAA